GGTCCCCTGGTATGGCCCCAAAGGGAAAGCCACCTGTCTTGTTCAATGTACCTCTTGCGGTTTCCATTTTCTCTTAGTTCTTTGCCTCTGAATAATCCATACTTTCCTGCCAGAACAGTAATGTATTTTCATTAAAAGAAAAAAAAAACAAAAAAACAAAAAACACCTCCCCCCGCATGTTTGTTTTTCTGCCACATTACTGGAAATGGCAGTTCGAGAACCAAAACTGAAAAATGCAGCCATTCTTCACGTATCATTTCCCTCCGTTCCCCATGTGATCTTCCTATGGGATGCCCGTTGGATGCTCCTGTTTACACTGCGCGTGTTTTATCTCTCTTTCGTATTTTCTCTCTTTGTGCTACATTCTGAGAAATGTTTTTATTTTTTTTAGTTTAATTTGCCAGTTAAACTAAAGTTTAACTAAAGTTTAACTTTAGTTGCATCTCTTCTGCTAGAGTTAACCTTTTTCTTGAGTTTACTTACATTTTTTAGTCCTAGAGATTCTTTTAGATCCTTCTTGAAGTCTGACGGGTCAGTTTTGATGGGCTCTGACCCATCAACTCATGTTTCCAGTTGGATTAGAGAACCAGAGTCCTGGCATCAACTAGCTGTGTGACCTTGATCAGATAATACAGTCACTTTGTATCTGAATGGAGGGAGTACTGTCTATAAAAAAGGGAAGGATAGCATCCACTGCAAACTGTTGAATGGTTTTAAGGAAGTTAAGTGCTTATAACTTGCCTGGTATAACTTAGTACCAGTTAACAAGTATTTGCTATGTGATTGTTTTTTTATTCCTTTAAATATGTTAACATACTAATTTTATAGTCTATTCAGCAGTTCTCACATATGACTATAGATCTGGTTCTGTCCTTTTTTGACTTTATGTGGTTTTTGCTTGTGTGTTTTGTGATTTCATGGGAAAAGTCATATTTGGTAAAACTGTGTGCATAGATTTTTGGAACCTATGTTGAAGGTTTGTTGCTCCTAAGAGGATTTTTTTTGTCTTCTGCCAGATTTTTTTCAGCACTAGGTAAATTCAGGTCTGAGATCCAGGTTAGCTGGTGAAGAACCATGAAATCGTAGGGATTTTGTGTGTGTGTGTTTATACATCTGACCAAGAACCAAATCTTGACTCTACTGACTGCGTTTTCTAATATTCACACTGTTTCAGGCCCTCCTACTTCATGAGTCCCAGCTTTATATAGGGTGGCCTCTTATCACTAAGCCTATAAGGTGTCCAGTGCAAGCCCCACTGCCTAAGATCTGTACATTTCTGTGTGGTACGTGGGCAGCTTCTACCCTCCCTTGCCTCCCTTATGTGTAGACTTCACTGTTGGCCTTATCTTAATTCCTTTACGTTTTTGCAGATTCGTTGATTGATTGAGTTTTTTTATACTTTATTATTTTTGTTTTATAGCTGGAGGGCTTAAGGATCTCCTACATCCACCACATTACCATAAATCAAAAATTAAAACACCATCCTTAAAGAGAATATTAAGCCACATGTCCTCCTTGTACATCACCTTCATGAAAATATAATTTCATGATGAGGGAAAGTTGCCGTTAGTGTTTGGGTGATAGAAAACAAAGTATAACATCTGTAAATTTAGGTGACGGTAATAGAAACAATGTTGTTAGTAATTGGTGCTAATAAATCTGTTCAAAATGGGAATAGTTTACAGGTTTCCAAAAACTGATTATCCTCCTAAGCAACAGTATTGAAAACACTTAGACTAGTGAATAGTTAGCCCATGTAAGAGAAAATCGTTTAATATTATTTCGTATCAGAGTGTAGTTTTAGAAGTCAAGAAAATAGCATTTGGATGAAGTATTCTCCAGAGCCACACAGCATGGTTCTGATACGAAACAACACTGAGTTTTCAGAACCGTCATTCTTTATTACACTGATGGTAATAATTTACTGTGTTCACTGTGATAAACCTTCATAGCAAATGAAGATGTTAATTTTTTATAAAGCTGACAAATTTTTTCAAGCTTTTTTGTGCGTTGAGGGGATTAAGATTGATGTTAATTTGAATGTTAGTTTTAGACATATTCTTTCATTGAACGAGCCAGTCAGGCTTTCTCTAAAATTATCTATTCTGTGGTTACGGATCAAGCCCAGTACCCCAGCTTTTTCTTGTATGTGTGATATCCTACAGTGGAAACAGAGGTAGCCGAGTGGCCCAATCAGACCCGCCACCCGCACTGGGGGTCCGAGGTACCCACTTCCGGCACTGGGGGTCCGAAGGTACCCGCCACCCACACTGGGGGTCAGAGGTACCTGATGACATGTTCTTCATCTGCTAAGACATGAGACATACAAGTTAACTGTGTATGTAGGGTAGTTGCTGACGTAGGTAAAGGTTTCAGGCATATTTTTAGATCTGATTATTTTAAATGTTAAATGATAAAGCATCACATGTTTTAAAGATTCTAAAAAGTCAACCAAAGCACGAATTTTTCTGCTTAAATACTAAAACAGTACTGTTTCTTCCCATTTTGGATTTTTGCTCATTTGCACTAGAGTTAAGATGTGTGTGTACAGTTGATCCGTTTTTGCCTCTTAAAATCACTGCTTGAAAGAGCTTCTTTAAGGGAAACAGGTAGTTTGAATCACTTGCTTTTTCTTCATCCTGAGTACCTGTTATCATCCTGTATGTATCCATTAGACTGTGTTGTGCTGGATTTGTTTAGATTCCTTGATCCTAATTTTTAGCATCCCATCTGCCATACTGGGGTTTGCTTTGTTTTTATTTTAAGTTGATGTGGTCAGTCTTCTGCAAGCTTCCGTATCACTTTGAATCTCTTCTAACACGTAATGTATACTGTATCTCAAAATGTTCTTCTACTCATACATTATCCTATGCAATTAGTTCCTTTGATCACTTTTAGGACTTCTTTGTTTTACATTTGATGGAAATTTTACTTTACTAATTTTATAGGGTTGTGGAAAGTCTAATTTGAAAAATAGGTAAGAGCCTTAATATTTTGATTTTAGGACCACTTAATTTAAATACAAAATTGCATTATATTGTGGAACTAACATTTCTCAAATTTACCTTTGTATTTACATTTTTTTCCTCTAGGTGGCAACCTGTCAACAGTTAAATTGAAAATAATTTGTCTCTTGAATGTCATTAAATACAGAGTAGAAGTAGAATATAAGGTTTAATGGATCTTTCAGCATGTTCTGGAAGTTAGATTTCAGATTATTTCAGAAATTGAGAACCTCTTAGGCTGAAATAAAATTATATTAAAGAAAAGTTTCCATTAGAATACTGATAAATTTCATTTTGGGTAGCAGATGTGGGCTGTTATTGGGTTCTATAAAAAATACCAACAATAATGTTAATATTGAGGGCTTCCAGAAATTAACTTATTTTGGATATCTCTGTCTTTATTTGCGTTGATTTTTCATGTCTATATCCTTTATGAGTAAAGTGGCATAGGCCCAGAGATTGGCAGGTCACCAGCATTTTCTTTTCTTTTTTTAAAAATTAATTATTTTTTCAGTAATCTCTACCCCCAACATGGGGCTCAAACTCACAACCCCAAGGTCAAGAGTCACACACACTACCGACTGAGCCAGCCAAGCACCTAATTCTTTTTTCTTTTTTAAATTCTGCCCAGCATTTATCTGATTAAGTTTTGCCCTTGTTGAAAGTTTGATCACTTGAGGTTTTATTGTAGCATTGAGAAGACATCACCGGCAGGGCTGACAGTGCCGTGAGATAGTGGTGTGAAATCTAGAGGAAAAAGTACACGGTACCTGTTACCGTCACCAGAATCCTTAGACTCAGGGGAAATGATTTAATTTTAGTATCGAAGGACGTGAAGTGTCCCCTGTATAGACTCCCAAGCTGTAACCTAAATGGCTTTTAGTTATTCAGTGTGTAGCCACTGAGCAACCATATATTGCAAAATACTTTTTATTTTAAATCTTCATAATTCTTCAGTAACTAAACAGTGTATTAGTTACTAAAATTCTGGTGAAATGCATCAGTCTTACACTTTTGCCATCATTGGATCCATTTAGGATTAACTTTGACTTGTATGTATAAATTTTTGAGTAATACTAGATTAAAGTCATTTTTTAAAGAAGATGTAAACACTCCTTATTTTTCCATAGCTTCTAAGCCCTAGTAGTAATATCCTAAAAGGTGCATTATCAGTGGATTTAATGCCTTGTGTTTTCTTTCTATGCCCACCCAGGTCATAGTTATGGGGGCTACCAACCGTCCTCAGGACCTTGACTCGGCCATAATGAGAAGAATGCCTACAAGGTTTCATATCAACCAGCCTGTAAGTGCTTGTGATTGATGTTGTGCATTGTTAGAGACTCAGCTTTTTACAGGAAAGGAATGATTTGGCTTTTAATTTTTTTAATGTTTATTTTTTATTTTGGAGAGAGACAGAGTGCGAGTGGGAGAGGGGCAGAGAGAGAGGGAGACACAGAATCTTTAGTAGGCTCCAGGCTCCAGGCTCTGAGCTGTCAGCACTGAGCCTAACGCGGGGCTCGAACCCATGAACTGTGAGATCATGACCTGAGCTGAAGTGAGGCATTTGACTGATCCACCCAGGCACCCCAGGAATGATCTTTTTTTAATAGGATTGACTTACTATTTATGGCAGGCAGGAAAGGAATGGGGTAGGAGTCCCTATAATTATTTGTCCTTTCCACTCTGTCTTGCTTTTTTTCTTCTTTCTTTCCTAAGATGAGTGTCATTTGCTTCCCTTCAGAGTCTATACTTACCTTGTGTGCTTAGCCACCTGTTTGATTTTCTTTAGAATGTAGCAAGTTGTCTGAGAAAGTACATAGAAAATTGAAATTATAATTTTGGTTTGGCACAGGATAAAATTAGGAGGGATGGGGTTAAAGAATTGTTCTGTTCAGAAGGCTAACAAATCGCTTCTCGGCCTTTTGACTCAGATCAAGTGCAGAAGGCTGACAAGAACTGGATTTATCTGATTGATTATTGTCAATTGTAATCTGTGCTTCCCTTTGATAGGATTAATGATTAACCAGTGGCTAAGATATTACACTTTAACTTAATGTAGATGTAAGTGTGTACTGGACCAGGACTGTCTTCTTTCTAGCATCCTTTTCTGTCAGTTAAGAAGTACCCTCGAGTAGGTGATTATAACTTGCTGGTACTCTACATAATTTTTGCACAGAATCCTCAAATCGTGAATTTTGGGTGCCTTTCGATGGAAGAGGGAAAAAACAGGGTTGATCATTGAAAATGCGCACCATACAGTCAGTCCGCGTGTTACATGTATGGCTGTGTAGAGGAATTTTTAGTGTCAATCCTTTCAAATTTTGAAATAAAAGATTATAATACCCCTGAGAGTCTCTGGCTAAAAAACATCTGTCCCACTGTGTATTCCACAACTTACCAGTTTGTGGCAATAAACATGGTTTCCTAAAATTGAGGGTTGTGGCCTCTTACTCTGATCAGTTATTTGCTGTAGCTAAGACCTCGGCCTCTCTGAGAGAGAGAGCATGCTCAGAGTGAGCCACTCTTAGAAGATTTACCTGCTACAGCAATGGAGAAATTCACCTTGCTGAAATTCACACTAAATTTATTTAGCGTGACTAGCGTTGAGCACTGGTTTGTGTCAGGCACCCGCCAGACTCCGGGGAATGGAGCACGGCCCTTGTCCTCAGCTCTGGGTGGCACGGGAGGCAGACACGTAAATGAATGACATAAAAGATACTTACCAAAAGAATGTTTGAAGAACTGAGACCCTGAAATGATGCTGAAAGCCAATAATTCTGTCCGAGTAGTAGTAAGCTTTACAGAATCCAGGATGGCAGGAGTTTGATACACAGGGGAGGCGAGGAAAGGCAAGAATGTGTGGAAGGTAATGTGTATTTGCTGAGACTCTGGGGGTAGTTCAGGCAGGGCGTCCGGGAAGCAGAAGGACCCGAGGCTGGAGAAGTAGGCTGCCGCCAGGTTTACGTGGCATTTGTCTGCCTTGCCTATGAATCGGGCTTTTGCATTGGCAAGACAGCAGGACGTTTTTAAAGAAAATTAATTTCCTTCCCTCGGCGGATCTGAAGACAAAGATTACATTGATGGAATCTCTGTCTGGAGTCCGACAGGAAACAGGTTTTTGATACACAGTAGAATAGAACAAGGATACAACAACTCACAAGGTAGCCTTTACTACAGTTCTCATTTTAACATATTAATTGTGTTAGTTACCAAAATGGGTTGTCAGACTTGTTACAAATTTGTATGCTGTTAATGTACAAACTGGGATTTTGTAACCCCCCCTTTTCATTCCATTTTTAGTGGATACATATACTCTACAGGGTAATTTTCTTCTTATTGCAGAACTCTGATGTCGAAGTATCTGATTAACCTTACCTTAAAACTCTTCTCCAAATTAAGTGGTTATTCACAAAAAGTAGTCATTGGTCATCACATAACATACCAAATTTACCTTCATACTTAACCATCTTGAATTACGGGAACAGCAGGGTTCGGTTGTGTTTTTTCCGGTCACTTGATTTGATACTGGTGGTAACTAGCTGTGTCTTCAGTGGTTGTGAGAACAAGAATGAGTTCAGCCATAATACATTTTTAAAGCCTTTATATTGACTTTCTATGTAAGGTATCCTATCAAAATGCCTGTTCTGTGATATAATGTGAGCCATCATCGCTCGGGTGGAAAGTATATAAACACGTGTACCGCCAACGCCAAACAAAAACTGACTGATATAAATTAGCGAGTGAGGGAGTGGTGTGCAGACGTGGAGGAACTGAGCCTACATCGTTGCCATCCTGTCCAATTACGTAAATGAAGAAAAGAACATTTGCCAGAGCCGTAGAGGAAAGACATTGAAGGGCATGTTATTTCCCAGACATTGTGCTAATCGCTGGGGATTCAGAATAAGAAGACAGGAATTCAGTAGGTTGACCACAATTACTCTAGAGTCTAGAATCTAGACCTTGCTTAGCCAACATATTTTATGATTTTTGTTAGAGTTTCTGGCGTTTCCTGCAAGTATTATCAGATAGTTTACAGAGGAAAGAAGAAATAATCACGAAAACTAGTTGATCCTTATTTTTGTTAAATGCTAACTGGAAATGATTCTGGTTTTAGGCTCTAAAACAAAGAGAAGCAATCCTGAGACTCATCTTGAAAAATGAAAACGTAAGTAGAAAATGACATTTTCCCCCAACCTGTAAATACGTTTATGTTCATAAAACCGTTTTAGAAATGAAAAAGTAATTGGAGAATAAGCAGCTTTGTACTTGACATAAATCACTGTAAAACTGTTGGCCGTTCATGTAACGCATTAGCCATGGTCCATTTGAGCTAATTAAAGATGATCTGCTTTTTTTAAAAGTGCTGTGTTTCATATCTTTGATATTTTTAGGCTGCTCTTCAGTTATATAAGATACGTTTATTTTTGTACAGCAGTATGGGTTTTATTTATTTGATTACGATATTTTTTGAAGTTGCAGTTGAGATTTAAAAGGGTATGATAATCAAAATTTAAATGGGTTCTGTATTTAAGGTCACATCCTTCAGAATTAAAGCATGTACGTTAAATGGTGTTCAGAGAAGAATCCCACTTCTCCTCCTACATTTCTTCTGTGTCCCTTCCGATGACCCAGTCTATAACAGCACGTAGGATATACCGTTACTCCCTTTCCTTTTCCTACATAAGCCATATTAATAAACTGCATACCCTGTCCTATGCATTGCTTTTGTCACTCATCTTGGAGACCTTTCCATATTAGCAGATAGTGTCTTTATTCTGTGCGCTCAGTCGCTCTCTCTCGTTCTCTCTCTCGCTTTTGCATTGCATAGGACTCCACTGTCTGGATATACCACGATTCATTAAATCAGTGCCATATTGAAGAACATCCAGGTTGATTCCAGTCTTTTACTACTACAAAAATGCCGCATTGAATAACAACCTTGAACATATGTCACTTCACACTTGTCCAGGGATGTCAGTAGGGGTGATTTTCCAGAAAAGGAATTGCTAGATCACAGGATCTGATTTAGAATTTTGGTAGCTCTTGCCAAATTCCACGCTGATGTACTCTCACACCAGCAGCGTTAGCGCCTCC